CAGGGCAGCCGCTTCTGGCGGTGTTTTAGTTCCATTCAGAAGGCTTTTTGCCTGTTAAACAGCTGAGTGCTTATTTTGTGTTCCTATTTTCAACATGATTTTTGACCCACGAGTTATCTACAGGTGTTTTCAAATGTTCTTCTAATTGTCATTCCCATCTCCCACCTCCTGCTGGTTTGGTCTTGGTGGACACAGTCACGGCAGGTGTGCTGAGGTCTCCTGGTAGGAAGGCCCCTGTGTCAGCCTGTGCCTGATGTGATGTCGGTGCATACAAGTTATTCTGGCATTAGGTTCCTGGTAAATGGAACCTTTTGTCAATACAGCGACACTCGTAAACCAAACAGCATTCTTTGGGGCGGCCTGTCTTGCCTCATGTTAATAGTAGCAACCCCAGCTCTCTTCTGGTTGGTGTTTGTCAGTATCTCTTTTTTGATCAGATGCGTAGGCTTGACGAGCAGTGTGAGGCCACTGGGCAGTCGGTGCTCATCATCCCCTATTACATATGGACCACTGGTGGGGATGGCGTCCATGGCCATGGAATTACAAGCTGACCTCCCCACAGGGCGTGGGCGTTTTCCGCATTGAGGCCCTTAAGTAGTTGGTTCCAGTGCAGTGTCCCTGACCCACTGTGTCCCTGACCCGCTGTCTCCCTGACCCGCTGTGTCCCGGGGGGAGAGTGGGAATGGAAGCTCAGCAGTAACAGGGCTTCTCCCTGAGGACCTACAGTCTATTTTCTTATTTAATCCTCACGATAACCCTCGGGCGTCCCATGCTGCCATATTGAAGGGACCAAGGCGCCAGGAGATGGAACGACCTGCCTGCCTCCTCTGGAGAAAGGCCATTTTCAGATGGAGTGAGGAGCCTCAGTGCTCCTGGAGGACACACACAGACCACTGTGTCTCTGTGGTGGCTTCACTTCAATATTGTCATGGTATTTTTCTGGGGAACCAATATAGGTGATTAATGCTATTTTTGAATTTTATTTTCAAAAGACTTAAAGGCATTCAGGTCCCTATTTGAAGAAAACCCCGTGTGGTCTTTTATTTGAAGACAGCCACCCCTCAGTGCCCTCTCTTAGCGTGGCAGCCCAGAGACGTGGGCACTTGAAGAGCTGTGTGACAGTTAATTTTGGACGGTCTCACAGCTGGGATGAGCAGATGACTTTGACGTTTGCCCTCTGGCACTGAAACTGTTAACCTCTAAGAATCCTGGAAACAAGTGAAGTGGTACCACTAATGATGGAACTCCTTCACCTGCCAGCAGATTTAACGTGAACCTCACAGAGGAAGCAAGGAACTCACAGAATTCAGTGTCCCTTGGAAACTTTTTCCTTAAGCTGTTTTTTAGAAACAGATTATTTGGTCATTAAGTTGGAATGAATGGAATCATGAGCTTTAAATCCTTCACTTGGGCCGTGGGGCTGGCTGACTGGATGCAGCCAACTCTGGGCAAACCGTTAGAACGTTAAAGTGAACCAAATGTTAAAGGTTAGTGTCCGACAGTTCACAGAGCTGTGTTATTCGTGCCCCGGAAGCCCCATCTCTGCCTGAGCACGGGGCCTCCCTGGACGTCAGCATGGTCACTGTGAACAGACGGGACCACGAGGGGGTCAACAGTCAGCGTGAGCATCCGTGATTTTGTCTTGTTTCTAAATTATGTTTCCTAGTTCTTTATGGTCTTTAAAGTGGATTTTTCCAATTTTATAATTTTTGCCTTCTGTAACAGAAATGTTCATATATGCCAGTTTTCATTAAGGTATGTGCTATGAAGTATAAATGGAGTATTCATTTCTCACATTTTTATCAAACTTTTCTCCCCTAAATGTTGTTTTGATGGTATTTGAGAAAAACATCACATTTTTAAAATATTACAGTACGTGTGGGGTTAGTAAGGGCATTCACAATGCTGGGCCCTGAAACCATGAAGGCCCCATTTCCCCTGAGCACACCTGGCTCACCGAAGCGGCAGCCCAACCTTTCCCAGCACTTGCAGCATTTCCAGAGGAGCCGTGTGGACTGAGAGGAGGCGGGGACTTGAGGCCACTCAGACGCGTGTGTTAGACACGGTCTTTGTAAGGCTGGGCCAGGCCAGAGCACCTGCCCACGGGCTCGGGTTCAGGTGAGCTTGGGTCCCAGTTTTCCCTCAGGTTCTCTTCCCTCCCTTGTCCCTGCAGAGGAGAACTTCTCTGCGTGGAGGGATCACTTTTCACAATGTAGGGGATGTCTGGGCGGCTGTCATGTGGCTGGGGGGCTGCCCACAGTAGAGTGGCCATGTGGTGGGGCCGACAGTACTCACCTCTGGGTCCGGGGTCTCCCAGCTCTCCGGTGGGACCACGATATCCAGGGGGCCCTCGAGCACCAGGGTGGCCAATGGAGCCTGGGGGCCCCGGGGGTCCCGGGGGTCCAGCTGGACCAGGCCGACCGATGGACCCTGGTGCTAAAGGCTTCCTCAGGTGAGCAGCTAACTGTGCAATTTGTTCTTTTGGAAAACAAAGACACAAGCATTTATTCAAAGAGGATTATCAAAAGTATTTTATGTAAAACAAAATATTTAAAGTGCCTTTCAGAAAGAAGTTTTGTTTGTTGGTTGAAAATGGCTTTAACTGCCTTAGGGTAAGTCGTAGATGCTGTGAGATTTCCTCTGTGTACCAAAGAGGGAATGACAGGCCTAGAAAGGGGATTCTGTTTGTTTTGGAGCTCCTTAAAATTCCTGTGGATCAGAGTGGCCAAAAGACGTCCACTTGGTCCCTCAAAGCCGAAAGGGCACAATTATTTGTCCCTTGTACCCATTCATTCAGCAGACACTTAGAACATGCGCCGTGTGCCAGGCTCTGGGAATCCTGCCCGAGGGAGCCCTCGTCTAGTGCAGACAGACAGACCAGAGCACCAGTGTGGACCTCCAAGGACCACAGGCCAGCCCGCAGCTCAGCTTGGCTGGGAAGCAGTGGAGGATGAGGCTGGGGGTGAAGGTGGGGCTGAGGCATGTACCCCCAGGTGCTCGTGGGGCACAAGGAGCCACCTGTGGAGGGGAGAGCGCTTACCACTGACCATGCTCCCGCACAGCTCCCGGATGTGCTGCTCGCTGGCCTCTTTCCCCTGAAATTCACCCCCCAAATTCATCAGCGTACAGGGGCATTCTGGCAGCTCTCTGAGGCGCCCCCACTCTCACACCCTGAAAGGTAACTGATGACCGATGATTGAGCGCAAGGAAGGAAAGAAACACGTACCGGGACTCCGGGCTTCCCAGTGATGCCAGGCACGCCCTGGACACCCTGGAAGCCCACAGGGCCCGGGGGGCCTGGGACGCCCTCCACACCGCTGGTGCCATTGGGACCCTGGATGCCTTTTGGGCCCAGCTCCCCTCGACTGCCCGACTGGAGAGAAACAGCAGAACGAGGTGGGTCGGGGGCGAGCCATGCCCAGGAGCTGCCAGCCCACATGCTGTGCCCTCTTGGCTGGCAGTTTCCACCTTGCCCGAGTTCAACAGAGTGGTCATTTATGATCTGCAGGCCGTCAGTGCCCCACAGGTAGCCTGGTGGCCCAGAGGTGGCCTGAGAAGCCAGTGGGCTCCTTTGGATATTGTCACTGGAACATCTGCCAGGTACTCACCTCTCCTTTGGGTCCCACAGGGCCACTGGGACCCTGCAAAAGAGAAGGGGTACATTCTAATTACTCCGGTGGTGTTGTTAGCTGGGTGGAAATTAATTCCCAAGGAACGACTCTAACACATTATTAGCTGGGGATGGAATAAAAAATCAAACCATCCACCAAACTGCTATTTGACTTTGCCAAAACAGCAGCAGCCGTATCCTTTTACCCTTCTAGGTACGTGTTTTACTATGCTAGGATTGTGTTCTATCTACTGATCTTTTTTAGCTTATTTCTGCAACGCGTGTTTTAGTAGCTGTGTGGCGCTTTTTCTCATTGATGTGGACTTTGTTCCCACTCTTTCTTCTTGTAAGCGATGCCGAGCTGAACGTCTCTGTGCTCAGAGCTCCCCCATCTCCAGCTGTGTCCACAGGAAGCTGCCCGGCTGGATGCAAACAGGGACACAGTCCCACCAGACAGACGGCCCATGACCGACTCATCCACGTCGCCATCTGGGTGAGAGCCTGGACACCACGTGCTGCTCGGGCCACATCACTGACTCCTCGTCGAAGCCACAGGGAGAGTCTGGGGTGAAGCTGGTCAGCCCACACGGCCCGACTGCCGAAGTCGCTGGGGCACAGTGCAAGGCTTCCCGGCTCGCAGGACTGCCACCCCCATCAGATTAACGGGAGGTGGATTCCCAGGGTCCCGTTTGTCAAGGTTGTCTAGGAATTCGCCAAAATAACGCACACAGAACTGAGGTTGTCTTGGCTGGAGACATAAGAAGTTGTACTGGGCCACAAGGTACTGCCAGAGGATCCCTGGGGCTGAGCCATTTCCATCTCACCCAGACACAGGAAAGGCTTAACTGCAGAACTAGGAATTCTGCCATGTGGGGGCCAGATCTGTCCTGCCCCAAACTCCCTGATTGTTCTGGTTCCGTTGCCTCCAGGAGAAATGTGAATCTGTCAACGAACTCAATCGAGGATTTTATTTTAAACTTAACCTGTTTTAGTTCTGTGGAAGCAGAGTCTGCTTTAGTTAAAACTCAGCTGTGACTAATGCATGCTGAAAGGCCACCGCTGGAGGGACTTTGCAGGCAGCGTCTCTGTGCAGGAGAACCCCAGAGCCGGGCCTGCGGCCACCCCTCCCCAGAGGCCCAGCCCAGTCCCACCCGCTGCCTTCAGGGCCGCTCAGGGGCCGGGGCCTCCGTGACGCGAGGCTTCCCCCCTGGGAGTTTCTCCTTCTGCCTGGATGTGCAGGACCCGACCTCCTCCACAGGTGGGTGCCCCCACGGATCCCCAAACATGACTGGTTCATCTCAGTTGTCAATAAAAGTGGAGTCAACTTAATCACACTTACCAGTTCTCCCTTGTCCCCAGGAAGACCATCGGAACCTGCAATCCCCTGAAAATGATAGACCCCAAAGTTAAAGAACTGTTCGTGCCTTAAGCTGTTGTCAAACCTGGGTGGCAGCTGGTGCAGCAGACCCAGGCCCAGGGCAAGGACGCCAGGCTGAAGTCACTTGTTGACATGATAAGGCTTTTCTGCCAAGCAGAACCACAGGTGGGTTTCGACTGATCTAGGTCCTTGACCAGCGTAAAAAGGGCCTGGTGCTCCCTGGAGGCCGGAAGAAGCTGAGCCATAGGGACACAGGCCCCTCCCACCCCTGAGCCTTTCCAGAGAGCAAAGTGCTGCCAGAGGAGTGAACACATTTCTAGTCTGCTTCTGGAACCCGATTCTGTCCCCTTTACATGATCACTTTCCCAGAAGGTCAGCAGGGAAAGTCCCCTCCACTTTGAGGGTCCCAGAGGAGCCACCAGGCTGGAGGCAGCTGCTCTTGTACCCAGGAGCTAGCTGGCAACGTTGGGCTGCCCTGCCATTGCACCCAGGAAGGCGGCTCACATGGGTCCTGGTCCCCGCTCTGGCTCCGGGGCTGGGTGCCCAAAGCTATCGTCACTGCTCAGAGGGAGCAAGAACCAATGACAAAGATGGAAGGAGGGAGAGAAATGAGAAGTGAGGGTGCCACTCAGAGCTCCGAAGACGGCCCCACATCCACATCTGACTTCACAACGGGGGTGCCCACTCACCTGTTCTCCCTTAGGCCCTGCGGCTCCTCCCGGGCCCTGCAGCAGAGAGAAGCCTCGGCATTAGGGGGTTACAGGAATCCCGAAGGTGACCTGCCCGAGCTGTGGAGCCAGGAATGTGCACGCTGCCTGCACAGGGGGCTACATGGAACAGGCTCCCTCCCCTGGACTCAGTCCCAGCGACAGACTGTGCTCCATGTGCGTCTCCTAAGTGTCTCGGGGGTCTTTCTGTAAACCCGCCTCATCTTTCTAGGCACGCCACAGCGTCGCACCACATGGGGCACCACGATGGTCTAACAGCTCTCTCCCACGTCTGCAATCCCGGTGAATTGGGTATCTCTGCGCACGCGATCCTGCGATAACTTCACAAAGTGGAATTGCTGAGTCGAAGAGCCAAAAGCTGACATGAATCATCTTCCCAGTGGACTGGGAGATTAGGGACATGTCTGGGAAGCAGTAGGATCGCCCCTAAAATATTATAATAAAAACTGTCCATTTGCCCAAGAGCAGCCTGACTGAGAACCCGCCCAAAGGGCAGGACGGTGGGACTTCCCTGTGAATCCAGGGTGCAGTGAGGGCAGGATTGGGCAAGGTGGTGAGAGACCCAGTGACTGGCCCCTCACCCCACTGGGGACGGGCCAGTGCCCAGGGGCTCCTCTCCACCCTCTCTGAGGCCCCTGGCCCAGCTGGCGTGTCTCCGACCCCTGGAGGCTGTCCCAATCCAGGCTGGTAGTTTCCATGGCACCCTGTCACTGCCCGAGATGAAGGGGCATCTGGGACTTTGGCTGCTGGGTCTCCCCGTCTGCAGCGATGTCAGGAAGCAGGTGTGGCCTTCGCAGGGCCTCGAGTGCACCTCTGGAGGGCTCTGTCACTGCCCGGCAGGCGGCGGCCACAGAAGGCACTAGGGGTCCCCAAGCACCCGGTGCAGCGTAGCTGGGCCGGGCAGGAGTGCAGACACAGGCCCACAGCCTGCTCCCTGTGACCCAAGGCCGTGCCCTGGCCACCAGGCAACCACCAACCAGCCTGGGGCGCTCTGTGCCCCGACTGTCACAGGACAACGGGGACCCCACAGTGAACCTACTGGCTGTCGTAAGACCACTAGGAAAGAGTCTCGAAAAGTTAGACAGCCAGTTACGGTAGTTTAGAGGGATGGTTTTCACACTTACAGTAACGTCACCCTGTGCCAAGTAAATCCTCTGCGGAACCCGACAGATAGAGTGAGCAGAAGGCCAGGAGCCGCTGGCCCCGGCCCCACAGGCCCCACAGAGCCCGGAGTGTGCAACTGCTGGGCACCAACAGTGTGTAAGACGTCCCTGCAGGACCTCTGACATAGGGCCCCCGTCTGTGTGTCCCATGGGACTGTGGATGTGGGGGTAGGGGTGGGACACCCCTTGCTGGGACAGCCACTTACCCGGTCACCTATGTCGCCTCGGAGACCCTGGGGACCCGGCAGCCCGGGGTCTCCCACACTGCCCTTCCGGCCCTACGGACAGAGACCCAGCTCATCAGTACCCACTAGGGAGCCCAGCAGGGACCCTTCACCCTGCCCAGCTAGCCCACCTGGGCTCACTGGACAAAAACCCTGACCCCAAACCTCACTCACCTGGAAACCTCGGACACCAGGGGCCCCAGGAGGGCCTTGTGGGCCCAGAGCACCCTGAAAGACAAAAGGAAGGTTTGAGTCCAGCTCTGCTTTCCCCAAGGGGCTGGGCAGACACAGGAGCTGGTCCTCGGCCATATAGCCCAATTGCTGGGGACAGAGGCGGGGGGCCATCCTAGGGGGAAAGTGGGGGGGTTGCAGAGGTCAGGCATGCCCTCAGGCCCCATGCATCAGCCAGACTTGGTGCCAGGCACCACTACCCAGGGCCTCCTGGAGCCCTGCAGCTGATGTCACCATATCTCGGTCTATGGCGGGAACATGAGGCTTGGGGAACTTCCACTGCAACTCCTGGGGCCCAAGGTGGGCAGCTCCCCTCAGCCGGGCATTGTGGCTTTGTTCCCTCGGCACAGAGGTCTCAAGGACAGGACCGCTCCAGCCTGGCCCTCACCATCTCCTGGCTTTCATGGGCTCGGCCCATTGATGCGTCCAAAACACCGCCCCAGCCCCCATGGAAACTGGGCCACACAGAGGCAGCTCCATGCCAATCCTCCCGTCCCAGGCTGTGCCCTCCACTCACCGCTGAGCCCCTGTGGCCAGCCTCGCCGCGCTCCCCAGGCACGCCAACGTCTCCCTACACACAGGGAGGGGGTAGTGTCAGCAGGGTCCACGCGCTGGGGTTAGGGGTGAGGGCAGTGGATACTTACTGGGATGCCAGGTTCTCCCGAGGGACCGGCCTCACCCAGCTCTCCAGCTCTGCCCTGCAGGGAAGAGACCCTGAGTGCCCTCCCGCATCCCCTGCATCCAGGACCCAGGTGCTGGCCCCGCTCCCGGGAGAAAGAAGCCACGTACCAGTTCTCCCTTCTCGCCCTTGGGCCCTGCTCGTCCTGGGAGACCCTGCAGGGCAGAGGTCAGGGGTCAGAGCTGCCGAGGCCATGGGCAGCAGCACACAGCCCGAGGCAGAGCACCCTCAAACAGTGGGCAGTCTCCCCCAGCCCTGCTGACCCTGACGAGGGCCTCCAACAGTTTCCTTGGCCTCAATGCAGAGACCCTTGCATGAGCCCCCACTCAGGGACCCATAGGAGACACCCCTGTCCTGGGAGTGCCCCCTGGCACAGTCCTTGGGGTCGCTGCAGGAAGCCCCGTGCACTCACCGGCAGCCCGTTGGGACCCTTCTCCCCTGGGGCACCATTGCGACCAGCCTCTCCCTGCAGGAGATTGTGGAGGAAAGGGGTGCTGAGGCCCAGGAGGCTGAACTCCCTGAAGACTCCTCCTCCCCTGCAGGCCGCCAGCTGAATACCAACCTTCTCGCCATCGAGTCCCGGCACGCCATCCCGGCCATCCTTGCCCGGCATGCCCTGGGGACAGAAGATAGTGTGAGACTGGGCAGGCAGCATGCCCCTCGCTCCTCCTCCTCCCCAATCCTGGGCAGCTCCCTTCCCCATCCCCTGCCTGCACTGGGCCTGCCCCTCTTGGTCCAGAGGATCCTGAATGCCCTGGGGTATCTGTGGTCTCACGGCTCAGTGGCCACGTGGTAACCTGTGCTGTAGGCAAGGGGGCATAGGTGCACAGAGGGGCTGCCGGTCTGAGCCCACACCCACCCTCCACATCTGCCCAGACTCGTCACAGTGCCCCAGGGAAGTCCCGTTGTAGCCCGTTTTACAGATAGGGAAACTGAGGCTGGGTGCTAGGATTTGGGCCCAGGCCTGCCTGACCTCACACTCTGGACTAATTCTGGAACCGAGGACACAGCCAAGTGCTGGGAAGGTGGCAGCAGGGCAGACGGTCTCCCCACATTTCCCCTCGTCAGCCCTGCCTCCTCACCCCCCGGCTGTCCTACACTGACGGGGGCACCCAAGAGCCTGTCCTCTAGGGCCACGGTGGGGAGGGGCCCAGAGAGGCCAGGAGGGAATGCAGGTCTGGGCTGAGCGTGGGCACGTAACAGTGACGAGGGGGCACAGGTGTGGAGGGCGGGCGCCCTAGGACCCTCTGAATGCCCGCACCTGTGCCCACCGTCTACCCCACCTGCCCTCACGTCTCACGTTCCCCTGGAACACAGATGAGCTCAACCTGAGACCCTCTACCTCCGCACGGTCAGGACAGCAACAGTTTTCAGGCCATGCAAAATGAAAAAGGGGGGCTGTTCAAGCACTATTGCACATTTCCAGATGCAACAGCAGGGCGTGAAACTGAGTGAGGGCCACACGTCCGTGCAGCCGCCCATGCAGAGCCCAGGACCTTGGAAGGAGGATAACCCCCGATGGGAAAAAGAGCGACATCAGTGTCTGCCCCAGTGCTGGGTAACACATACTCACCGGCTCTCCACCCGGCCCGGCCGCTCCGGGGACGCCTTTGGGACCAGGTCTGCCCTAAAAGACACACAAGGGCCGCAGATGGGAGGTGAGGAATGCTCCTGCAGATTATCTCATGGGTTCCTGGGGGCCCGGGCGGGAGCCGTAGGCACACCCAGTGCCCATCTTAGCATCCCGTGGACATTGCAGCATCGCGCGACCCCTCATGGACCGCTGGCTGCTAGGCTTAGTTCAGGGGAACACGAGCTTGTTTGGAGGCATCCGCAGGCGAAGGCCAGTTTGGGGACGGTCGCTTCAGTTCATTTCATGAGATGCTTAATCGTCTCTTGGCTTCACTTGTGTTCACTTGCTCAGCCCGAGAGTGGCTTTCTCTGTTCATTCATTCCCAGCGCAAGGCCGAGGACCACTGTCCAGGGCTCTCGACTATGTGTGTCAGTGGCCAGAATTCAGACCCAGGAGTCTGGTCCTATGGCCCCTGTCCAGCTACTCCAGAGAGGAGCTTGTCATCAGACGCAGCTTCAAGGAGCCGCTGGGGGCATGCGGGCCGGGCTGTGGGAGAAGAGCCTGGGGCGGGGGATTGCAGGGGGCCCCTCCCGGCCCAGCCCGCACAGGAGCAGTGGTCCCCCACCCCACGTCCCCCAGCACGTGCCATCCCTGTGTCCTCCCCCTCCCCGGAGATGAGGTTCTTCTCAAGGAAGTTCTCCCACTTACAAGGTCACCCTTGGGGCCTCGGAACCCCTCCGGGCCTCTCTCGCCTCTATCACCCTGAAATGACAAGGGGAGACAGGGACAGATTTAACAACAGGAAGTAAGTGGGAGAGCCAGACTGAGGTGTGATTGGCTGGGGTCAGCCCCGGAAGTGGTCAGAGAGAGCAGGACTGATGCTGCTGAGGGTGGCAGAGGCCAGAGAGATGCTAACCACACCTCACTTTATGTCCAGAAAGAGAAAGAACACAATCTCCCGTGAAAGACAAACTCCTTTGGTAAACTGGCCTCCCCTGGTATGCCCACAGGTACCTGCCCAGGTGTGCCCCTCAGGTGTGCCCACTCATGCCCCACAGGTGTGCCCATAGGACGGCTCAGCCCTGGGAAGGGCCCACGTAGTCCAGTGGGGCTGGGGGAGGCATCTGAGTGAGGGACAGGGAAGGGGACAGAGCCTGGGCCTGCCAGGGGCCACCCTCCACCCTAGACACGCACGTACCACTTTCCCGGGAGCTCCTGGGATTCCGGGGGGCCCTCGGAATCCAATGGGACCCTGTGGAGGAGAGGGGGGCATCTGGGGCCTCTCATCTGAAGCCTGGCCAGCATCCCCCAAAGGACCCAGCTCCACCTGGAGGGGCCCTGTCGCGAGCACCCCCACCTCAGCACCTCCCCAGCAGGTTTCTCCCCAATTAGCCACCCAGCAGTCCCCAAGCCCCTGTCCCCCTCCTGCATTTGCCAAGGTCTCCCCTCCTGTTCCCCACTTGCCCCTCCCCATCCCCTTGGGCCTAAGCCACAACAGCCTTCTTAGATCCCAGTTTTGGGAACCATGCACGTAAGCGGAGGCCCAGAGGCAGCCTTGCCGAAATCACACGGTCCACCTATGGCCACAGGTG